TACATACATAGCTGAGTTGTATTTTCCTGTGCCAAGAACAATGAATTAATCATATGAAAGGTTGTAAAGGTCTGTCACAGCACTACTATCTCTGCAGTAAAAATTGCCAGGGGTCAGTTGTGCTCTCTTTTCCTAAGCCAGGCAAAGAAAGAGAAAATTTGGCAGTCTCTGTCCTTACAGATTGCATATGCAACAGGATCATAAGGATTTTCATGTCAGCCTTGGTGAATGTGTGAGATGATTGTTTTTTGTTGCTTCTGTATGAAAGCAGAAGCACAGTGGAAAGAGAAGACAAGAATGGAGATGTAGCTCAGGTGTGTTTGTGAGAGGCATTGGCTCCTCCTTGCTTTTCTAAGGAAGATATGTGTAGGTTTGCTGTTAACACTGGAGTTCTGTTCGTTTGATGTGGTTAGGGCTTGTGTCTCTGTTAGAGCACAGTATCTCCTTATTGTCTAGGAGCATGTGTTAAGCCTCATTTGTATGAGAAGTGAAGATTAGTAATCCTCTGCAGTAACTATATTACATCTGCATTTTACACTGCAGCAGTCCCTTTGGTTATGTTTGTGTGACTTGTGAAGGCAGAGGCTCCTGCTTGATATTTTCAGCTGTGGGAGTGAGCTGGAGCTTGTGTTTATGTAACACAAATGCTGTTTATGCACTTCATATTTCAAATACCTGTAGCTGGTTGTGCTTCAGCTGCTGCTGAGCCATTTTCTTAGGGTGCGGTTTTGCTACTGGTATGAACTGTTGGGGTTGTGATGCTGACATTATTGATGTTCCTTCCCTTGTTCCCCTGGTTCCTGCATTATGCTTGTGCAAGGAAAGCTGCAGGAGCTGCTTGGCAGGAGGGAGGAACATTGTGTCATCTCAGTGACAGCCAGCAGTGAGATCTGCTTAGCTGTATCATCAAACTGCACCCTAAAGGTGCCTCTGCCAAATGCAATACATTCAGTTTTCAGCTGAGTCAGTGAGTGGATAACGTGGCTGCTGCAGTTCCGGAGTAAGGACAGGCGTCAGGCCACAGTAACCAGATTAAAAGAGGAGGAAGGGAATCAGCAGCACCATCTCTGTCTTTAGTGGCACAGGTCTAGACAGACATATGCCAGTCTGTGAAATAAGTCCTTGAGATGGACTTAGACATGCATTCTGTTTTGTTTTGGTTTTAAATGTCATAATTCTGAAATGTATTTGTTGTCTGACAAGCCAGCTTAGAAGATATTTGTTGTAAGGCATTCTTCTCAGCATGTGTGGTCTGAATATTTTTTGGGGTGGGGTTTTGTGCTAGAAAGGAGGCTATTTGTTCTTTGGATCTCTCTGGAATGAGTGGACATTTCAGGTTAGGCTTTTGGTCCTTTCCGTTCCAGGATGAAGAGTCTGTAGGACAGTTAGTGCTACACATCTCACTCACCAGCCAATGCACTGAGTGGTACCTGCTGTCATTCCCTCTGCTTGAGGCAGGAGGACTAAAGCCCAGGGAATGCCTTATCTCCAGAAGGTGAGGGTTAGAGTCCAGAGCAGAAGACCGACCTCCCGAGTCCACTTCATGGGCACCAGACACTCAGCAACATCCCTGCTGACACCATGAAGAGATTTGAAACTGAGAATGAGTCTGCTTTGTCCCATTTATGTTAACTGGGCTAATGAAATAAGACAGAGAAGTTCTCTTTAATCATGGCTATTTCACAGCTCCTATTAATACTGCTACTTGAGTCATCTTGCCTATAGATAGTAGAAATAATATTAGTTTATCCTATCTGGGTTAGATGAATCCTGGACTAGTGAGATTTTTGCAGTGTGTTGAATATCTTGGTTAAAATAGTATAGAATAATTAAATGTTGTTGCCATTTAGTAGTAGGGAAACCACATGAAAAGCTCCTCTGGTTCAGCAGCTGTCGGTAGGCAAGCCTTTCCAGTACAGAAGATCTGCTGAAAACAAGTTCAGGAAGCATAGAAAGGGGAAAAAAAATAAGGTAATGGTGACCTGTTGGAGGCAATGAGAAGCTACCACTGAATTTTGGATAGAGGATGTGATCTGATTTCGCTAAACTTCTGTCCAGTCTGTACAGGATTTAAGATGCTAACGTCCTAATTTTTTCACTCTGCTGTTAAACAAGCAATAGGATTTGTGTCATTACTGGAGATCACTGTTCAGGTTAGCTGGGAAATCTACTTCTTCCCCATATTACCTGTGTGGGAAACAGGAATCATATAACACCAGAGTTTTCAGTCTTGCCAAAGATATAAAAAATAAAGTGGCTGAAAGCTGGAAGTGAGGTGAATTCTGAACAGAAACAAGCAAAGATTTTAAGTGAAGGCAGCTAATTAACTATGGGAACAATTTACAAAGACTAGCAGATTCTTTGTTATTACCAGTTCAGGAATGGAGCTTAGGGGGAAAAAAATCCATAGAAACTCTTTACTCCTAAGAGGAATTAATTCAGGGATGCTGAAGGTCAGAACAGATAATCCCAGTGGTCCAACCTGGCCAGGCCTGAGTGCGTCTTTGAAGTATTTCTCCAAAGCAGTCTGAAAGCAGATCCTCCTGTTACCTGTTGCAAATCAGTATGAAGAAATGAAAACTAGGGGAGAAAGCCAAGATACTTTAGCTAAGATAGACATTCTTTATAAGTAGGGCTACTGAATAAGTGATTAGCTCATTTTAGCAGTTTGGAGTATCAAAATTAACACCCTATTTTTGCTGCTTTTTAATCCTAATAAGGGGACCAACTCTAAATACTGGGATAAAATGAAAGCGTCTCTGAGGACTTTTTCCTGTCTTACTTTAGTGAATAGAAATATAGATCAACAGTAAAACCAAACCCAGAGAAATGATGTTCAGAAGACAATCACTCTCCTAAAAATATGGGAGACAAACACTGAATTATAATAGTAGACTATTAGGTCTATCAGAGTTTTCTTGACCACATTAAAGACAGATTAGGAACATATTATGTAAAGATTTTCCTCTGAAACTTCACAATGGATACTTATTTTGACTGTGTATCTCGCAGTATGCTGAAACATACTAAAACCAAAATATTTTGATGCTAAAGCAGCCTGTCCTGTAAGAATACAGATACTTTACCAATGTGGTGGATGAATAACCACAAACCAAGTTCTTCTGAACATGGTATGTCTGATTATATGAATATGCTTTTGAGGTTCCTTTCAATTGCATCACACTCTGGAAACCTCAGAAGCAGCAAGGTACAAGGTAAGTTTCATAAAGAGGACTAAAGTATCCACCTCTATAGTCTGTCAAGTGAGGATGTGTTTTTCTCCACTGGGCTCTTGACAGGAGCTCAGATCCTCTGCATAGGCTTGTGAGGAAGGGAGAACTGACACTGCTTTGTGCCATGTTGTCTTTGCTCAGTGTTTCATGTGGTTGAGCTCTGGAAGTTTTTAGAGCTCAGAGTAACCACAGATGAAAGCTGGAAGCAGGATTGTGAGGCTGACGCACTGCTGCGGCACAGATCCAGTTGTAGAGGAAGACAAAGGTCCTGTAGTTTCCTTGGGGAGTAATCAGCTGGCTTCTGTTGTGGCAGATGTTCTGAGCATCCATCTTAAACAACAAGGCATAATTTAACTGGATTTTAAATGTAACTAATGCTCTTGTTTTAGTTTACAAGCTTGAATCAAATGTTTGAGGGAGGAGAAGATGCTACTTTTTTGGCTAAAAATGTGCAGGGCATTTTGTTTAAATTTATGCAGCTGGCACATCCACAGCTGATAACTCATGCAGATGTCATGTGCAGAACTGCAAAGCTTCTGGTTAAAAAAAAAACCCCTACAATTTATTTCACTTCAACATCTTTAATTTGTTTTATAAAAATAAAAAAGAGATATTAGGAAATGTGGGTTTGTGGGAGAATTCTCATGGTGTGAATTGTAAAATATGAGAGATTTGATTATAGAATAGAATAGAATAGAATAGAATAGAATAGAATAGAATAGGTTAGGATTGAAAGGGACCTTAAAGATCATCTAGTTCCAACCCCCCTGCCATTAGC